CTGCTCCTCAGAAGCCTCTTTCAGTCTCTTGCCATAGCTGCTTTACCCTTCCCTTCTCAAGTTCACTGAAATGAACAGTGTTGTCTCATGCTGACGTTGCTTTTTATCCTGGTACATATCATTAACATGGCATAGATGTTCACCTCAAAATAGCATGTGGTCAGAGTGAGAAAAGAGAATTTCAAGGTTTATGTAAGAATCTACGTGCTAGTCTCCTTTCCATAAACATGACAGTCCTGTCTTACACTTGGCCTATCTGTTAAGAGGGACTTTAATGTAACAAGCTGCCAGGCAGGAAGAAGTTAGTTTTGTGGATCATCTTTTACAGTACTGAGGGACAGAAGATACCATGATAACACAGTCTTCAGAACCCATTTGAACAATGAGTTTGTCATTTGCAGAGTGGCTTGCTAAGCTACCTATAGTTTTGGCCTTTAATTTATTTAAAGTGTGCTATGTCGCTAAAAGGACTGTCACCTCTCTACCTTCATAGCTGCTGATATTAAAGTGGTGCGCGGAATCCTTTGTATTCAGTTTGTACAGCAAGGAGAACACCCTGAAGAGACCCAAGCAAATAACAGAGAACAGTTAGGATAGAACTCCTTATTAGTTCTGAAGAGAATGTAATTGAGAAACTAATTTGAATTTGAATGAAGAATTTCATCAGCTTAGGGAATATACAATCACAGTTCCAATCTTCATTTTGACTGGTAGCTAATACTTGTTAAACTTTTTGCTTGCAGCTGAGCTGTAACTGAGAAGCTGCTTTTGGGTCCGCATAGGGTCATTTCCACAGAAATTAGCTAAAACATAAACCAAAGTGAAAGATCGCAAAGGAATAGTTGGTGAAGGACAAGCAGGGACCACTTGATTTGACTCTCAGTAGCTGGCCTGTCCCTTTCTGTTCACAGTATGGGGTTTTGTTTTTTTTTTTTGGTCTTGTTACTGTTGGACTGAAAGTTAAGACAGCCTCTCCTCGAAAATGTAACTGTGGCCTATGGTCCATGGCCTCAGCTACTTGGAATTCTCTGGGCATTCCAAAGTTTCAGTGATATTCCTGATACTTTCCAGGACTTATCTTTGGGATTGGTCTCTGTCAAACACAAGTCAAGTTTGAAGACTAACCTCTTCGATACTCTACTCTCCATTTCTGGCTCCAAAGACTGCCTCTTCCCATGCAGCAGAACTGATAAAGAATCTCCAGAATCAATGTAATTGCTGAATTCTGAGTTACCAGCTGTGAAAATAAAGTCTTGTGAGTTGCCTTACATCTGCTTCAGAAAGGTATGAATGGCTTCAAAAACACAGAGCAGCTTACAGTTGTAGGAAGATATCATTGCATTAGTTTGCATGAAGCTTTTCTCCCATCCCCACCCACACGGTCCAAAGACCTGGGACTTTTTTGCTTTGTGACTGTATTTTGCCTCTCATGTCCTAGAAGCGTGGTCATGTTGATTTTTCAATCTAAAAGTATGAGCTTCTGGCAGTCTTTTGGTGATAACAAGTCAGTTTATGATTAGTGTACGTACTGGTATAACTGGGGGCTTTCCAGAGACTCCCAGATTAGAAATACACATATTTTACAAAGAAATCATTGGCTGGTGAGGACAAAACTCTTTATCAGCAGTTAGCATGATACAAATATTAAATAATAACCATGATAAATAATATCCTTGTACTTCCTATTCCTGTTTCTAATTTCCTTTCTGAGAGGTTACAGCTATTGTGTTCCTGTTTCATTTGGATGAACCCAACTGGTTATGAGTCTCCCATAGACATGACTACTGTTCCAATTTTGATACCATATCAGGGAGTTTCAAGCTGTATTGAGATGCCACTTGCCGTTTGGTTGCTAGTCTCTTAATGGCCTTTAATTCTGATGCGAGACATTTCCTTTTTGTGTCTTAGCCCAGTGTATTCATCATACACTTGATAGGTGTCCTGCTTCTGATACGGTGCACTTGTTGGAATGTCTGTTCTGTTTTGGAGTTCAGAGCAGCTTTGTAGAGATCCACCTCTTTGCCAACAGTCAGGTTAGATACTCAATTTGGTAATTTTTTTCAGTGACCAAATATTTCTCCTCTCTTCTAAAGTATGTTCCAAGTTGGGCCTTCACATAAGGTCGGAAAGTGCATTTGGATTCCTGTTGATGGGGTGTTCTGGAACAGTGCATTGCAATTGACATTACTCACATGATACCATTTTTGCCATATGAGTGACAAGGCTGGAATGTGGTTTAGTTTGTACTGCATGCCTGTAGTTAATATAATTTACTTTTTAGCTTCAAGGTCTTAGCACCGAAGTTACCACTGTCTCATGAAAGTTTCTGTGATGTTGATTAGTCCTTTCTGATACTGCTAATTAAAAGAGTTAAGTAAAGCTATGCTAGCTGATTCTAAAATGGTGGTTGCATTGGTTTGGTCATGTGAGGTCAGAGGGGTGGCTCATTAGCTGTTTTTTTCTTTGAGACAGTCTGAGAGACATTTACCGTAATGGCTGCTATCAGATTATTGTGTTCTCTGTTCTTCCAGGCCATGGTGAGGGAAAGGTATTTGTGAGAACTGACTGTTTAGCATCTGGTGGGAATAAGCTCTATGTTGTAGTCCAGTACTGAATGTTTCTCTCTACTGGAATATTCAGGCAATTTTGTTTTTTAATTAGTATTTTCACCAAGCTTGTCTGGGTGGATAAAATTGCTTAAATTTTTGTATTGCTGTTACTGAACAGTAATGATAGAAAAGACAAACAGGCACTGCTGTCCAGGAAACTCAGTATTTTGGGTAACTGAATGCATTTAAGTATCTCATTGTTAATGATTTAGGGCTTACAGCTTGTTGGGGGGAACTGAGAAAAGAGCAACAGAGATTAGTGTATCACAGTGACTCCTAGCAAATTTTGTCAATTGCTATGCATAGGGACCTCTGCAAGTGCAGGTGTGGAAAGACTACTGAAAATTCTTGCAGTGCCTTTAGCATTTATAGAGTTGTGCGTTCCCAGATAAATGCAAGAAGTGTGGTTTTCACTTCAAAGGCTCTAGAAAGCTCAAAGAACGTAAAACTAGTCCCACAAAGTATTTTCATTACATGGTGTACTTCTAGAAAATTCAAATTATTAAGAAAAAGCCACTGTGTTCTAATTGGAAAAGTATTAGCATGAACATGTGCTCCATTATTACAAATAAAATCAGGCTATACAGAATAATGTCATTTCTGAGAGCTACAACCTACATCTTTAGCCTGCTCTACTTCATTTCCTTTCTTGTACATCTTAATCTCGAAAAACAAACTGTAGAACAAAATTGTGCTATGTTCTGATCCTAAATCATGTAAGAGGAACTCGATTACAGTGTCTTGTCTTACAAAGTGCTTGTGCAGCTATTTGTGCTCTAGCTCATTACACTTTGTTTCTCATTTAAAAATATTTTAAAACTCTCTTCTATTTCTGTATGAGTGTTTAGATTTAATGTATTCTCCAGAAATACAGAAAAATGTTCTTTCCTTTATTGCACCATGGTACTTAAATTTCACGGGAGTATTATCACAGCATGTTTTGCTGGAAAAGTGGATCCACTTTTAATATATATAGATCTTATACTGACGAATTTCCTAAAAAGTCCAGTAAGTCTTTCTCTCACCAGTATGTGTAGAAGATTTATATTGATGTAGCAACACAGCTAAGTCTGCAGAGGATATTTGAATCTCTTACCTGTACTTAGAAGAATTTCCTCAGCTGGGTAAAAAGCAATTTTCTGTGGCTTGAGTTTCCTGATCTCAGGATTCTTTCTTTCTCTGTGTATTGTAGAAATTGCAGGGTTGCAGATCCCTGAGCAAATAGAGTTCTGAATAGTAAAACCAAAAAGATTGATGAAGGTTTTCTAGTGCTTATCTAATAATCTGTATCATTTCTACCAAAAAAACCTTGGAACAAATAAAATGAGGGAAAACTTCAAAAAGTTAAAAATCTGAAATAAGCAATTAAAAATTGAATTATAAAAGGTACTGAACAGTTCTTCAAATACAGAATGTTAAGATTCCAGAACTGAATATACTTACTGCATGTAAGCATGCCCACTGTGCTAGTACACAGTGCTGGTTTACTTTGGGTGAGCAGAACCCCTGTAATTTTAGGGTTCCTCATTTCAGTACATCTTTTATTTGTTTTGGATTTATTCTCCTTCATTGAGCCATTTTCTAGAGTGTCAAAATTAAACTTCTGATAAAATTCTAGGAATCACATTTTCACCTTGGCTACAGTAAACCACAGCAGTAAACCCCAGGTTTTAATCTGGGTCTACCTTTCTTCTTAAGACTTAACCACAGAGTCTTGTTTGCCCTCAGAGCCTTGCTGACTGAGCAACCCCATTCCCTACCCTAAGCCTAAGTTACCTGAGAGTAGCTGATGCTGCACTGTACTGAAGTGGTGTCGACCCAATCCAAATTCCACCTGTCTCTAGTTTCAGAATGGCTGCGGTTATTGCCTTTCCTGGGTGTGCTGGCCTTGCTTGGTTACCTCGCTGTTCGTCCGTTCCTCCCCAAGAAGAAACAGCAAAAGGATAGCTTGATTAACCTCAAGATCCAGAAGGAAAATCCAAAAGTAGTGAATGAAATAAACATTGAAGATCTGTGCCTCACTAAAGCTTACTGCAGGTGTTGGCGTTCTAAGACGGTAAGATGCTTTGCTACTTTAGGATTAGAGATTGAAACTTGCATATTATTATCAGTGTTTTGGTGGTGAATTGCTACATGCTGACCTGTTGCTTTTCTTGGGAGGTGGAACATGTTCCTGGTTTTGGAGAATGGCACAGTTCTTATTTTTCTCCACTGTAAACCTGTCTACATGCAGAAAGAAATGTAGAAGCTTGTAAGAAACACAGTAGAGTTTTTCTAGAAACACTTACAGAGTGACCACCTGTGAGTAGCTTAAAACCAAGCAAGACTTGTTTAATATTTGAAAATACATTGCAACTCATTAGAAGATAACTACTCCATTTTGCAAAAACAATGCTTAGAAAATTGTTCATATTAGAATGAAGGTAAGGCTGGACTTACGTTGGTGAAGGAGAGCATATCCCCGTGTGGTCCAGAGCAGCCAGTAGATACATGGTTTGGATAGTCCTTGTCCCCCAAATCAACTAGATGTACATGAGCCTTTTTCACCTACCTTTCATTTCTTTTGAATGTCCTGACTGCACACTGGTTTTGTCTTCTCTGGACTGAATGCTTTCCTGTTTTAACAAAAAAATCTGCCCTGGACCTAAGAAAAACCTTTTAACTGTTCTCCCTTCAGACTAGTCACTTCAGCAAAGTATTTCAGCTTTCCTTAAAACAGTACTTTCTGGTTGCAAATGATTAAATCTTTTTTAAGAGCACTTTTACTAGTTCCACAATAAACCTTAAACCATTTGTGGCTGTGATGGCTGCTTTGCTTGTTATTCTTTCATGGACAAGGCTTTGTCCCTAACTTTGTGTCTAAGAATAGCTATTTTAGGACCTCACAAACTTCGTTACTTGCTAGCAATGTTTGTTTTTTTCCCTTAGTAACAGGTCCTGTGTCAGATAGGAGACAGGGAGTTTGATGTTGAAACGGAGCATAGTAGGAGGAACTAGCAACATTATCAAAGTGCTCTTGACGTAGGAAGAAGTATAAAAATCACCATGCAATTGCTGTACAGAGTTATACTAATTCCTCATGTATGTTTTCTTTCAGTTCCCTGTCTGTGATGGCTCCCACAACAAGCACAATGAATTAACAGGAGATAATGTAGGTCCACTAATACTCAAGAAGAAAGAAGTATAGCAGATGTTTAATCCACTAGATCACGGATGATAGAAAGTCTTTTTATACTGTTGTAGTTGCAAGGGACAGCATTTTATTATGTGATTGGTATGATTTAGTCTGATTGCTGTAGATTTCTTTTTGGAATAAACTGCATTTAGACAGTGCTAAATCTGTCACTGTTTTGATACTTTATTCTGAGAAGAATTGTCTGCTTTGTAAAACTGTAAAGTAACTATCTGTAAATAAGTCGTTTATTTCAACAATAAAATGACTTCTTACAATTAAGCCTGTTTTGTATGAACATGCAATTATAAAACTGGCTATTTCTGAGTGATAGAAGTGCACTTCTGTCTGTTGATTTTGTTCTGCTGAGAAGCCATGTTCATTCTGCTTTTCATGAACAAATTTAAGTGGGGAAAAAAAAGACACTAAATTCATTCTTTATGAATATATCTAAGGGTACCACATAGCAATGTTAAGTTACACTAGGTGAAGGCCTGGCCTGTGTGGTGCCTGAATGGGCAGTTAGTCTCATGCAAAGCAGCCTCGCTGAGACAAACTCCACACAGCTGGAAAGTCTCATATGGCATCCTAGGTGGAATGCTGCAGTTCCAGACCATATAAACTAAATTATTGAGCAGGTCAGCCACTAACATTATCCCTTTATTTTGGGGCCCCTGTGTTGATCATTGATGAGCTCTTGTAAGGAAACAAATTTGCTTCTTGCAAGGTCACATGCACTGGACCTGCTTCTTTTTGTAGCAGGGACTTTCATGGAAGGAATTGGTTAAATGACAGAACCAAGAAAGCAGAGCTGAGCTGTATTCTTGGCTTGTTACCCATTCAGAATGATTACTTGGGCAAGTCGGAACTTTGCTGTGGTATGGCTTAATTTCAGAGGCAGGTAAATAATTGCTACTTATCTAACTGCTAGACTTCTAATTAATTCTTCTGAAGTGCTTTATTTTCCAATGAAATACTGTATCCATCAGTTGAAAAATAAATATTTGATCCATGCTACAATTTTAGACAATTGTACTAAGGCAGATTTCAACTGTTCCTTAACAGCATTTCATTTGACCCATTGTTAGGCAGGTTGGAACCCCCAGAGCGATGTGCTGTTGCCAAAGCTGATCACCACCATGCTGAAACAGAAAGCAAGTCAGAAAGCAGTTCTCACATAATGGCTCTCGCAGCAGCAGTAGGACTAAGGTAGATCATTCCTCCTGCATTTGTAACAGTTGTAGTTCTAAGTACCTAAACCTCTTGCTTTGCAGCAAAAGACGGCTGGTTAGGAAGTGGTTGTATGTTAAATTCCCACTTTTACAAAGCATGTAATAGAACAACGGTACAATCTTTAATGTTTAAATGCTTCATGGTGGTCTTCCCTTAATGGATGAGCAAACCATAAACATTATATTAGGATATAACATAACAGTAATATGGATTTTCCTCTAAGTGTCTTATATTCAGTCTTCACTTATAGATGCAGTATATTGAACACCAAGCCCCAATTCTTGGGTTTGCTGAAGAAATTACTATTAGAAATGTAAAAGCCTGGCTTTAGATTTATTTTTTTTCAGGCTTTAAAATCCATAGCCTGTTGTAGCAGGTTGTTATATACAAATCTGTACAGACTTCCAGCTTTTATCAGGATACTTTTGCATTCAAATAGTTTGATTTCCTCTGAAGTCTGAGAACTAAACTACATATGTCAATCCTGTTCTTACTTCTGTTGCTCTACTCAAACAAATCCTGTTAGAGTAATACAGCAAAATTGGTTTCATTTCTCCCACAAAGCTCCTCTGAAAGGAGAGCAACAGTGTAAGGCTTAACCTTTTGTCTCCATCTCTAGCATGGCTTGATTATGTATTTAATTTTTTTATCCCTGCTTGCTGTTAGATGGGATTGCTGCTAAACTATCTACAACTGTGGCTATGCAACAAACAAGGGTACATGTGTTTACTTTTGCTTATGTCTATAGGGGAATGAAACACAGTTGTAGTATTGGCCTGCAGTAGCAGCACTCAGTCACAGTTCCTTTGTAGAAAGGACATTTTAGTAATTTCCACAAGATAAAATTAAGATCACAAGCAAGATAAGTGACCATTTCCTTGCATTTCAAAATCTGTCAAGGTAATACTGTTTCTCATGGCCACAGAATTTTCTATAAAAAATTTCAAAGAATTTACTAGTTGGTTTAAGTTATCTACCTAGAGTCTACAGGGATCGATAGCTAAGTACTGAAGCGTCTGCAGAGCCCTGTATCTCACCAGCGACAGAGTTGAACCAGTTACCTGCTAGGATGTGCTTGGTAATGCCTTGCCACTGGATGACTTTTCTAACCTAATTTGGAAGTTGCACACAAAGGGATAAATTTGCCCCTAATGCTAATAAAGACCAGGACTGAGGCAGTAGACCAGGTCTTCACAGTCTTAATGCAAAATCAGGAGAAGCTGAACTTGGCATGTCATGACATGCCTTTTTACTCTACAAGAACAGTAACATTCACCTTTCTTTTGATTATGAATTTGAACAATACTTATAATAGACTACAAATAAACTTGTAAAAGAAATACATTTAGAGAAAGGTGTCTGACTTGTGGCAACTGCTAGACAACGTAAATGTAATTTAAGTGCAGCTGGCACAAAATTTGATCTCTTGCACTCTGTTTATTTAAAAAGCAAAATGCAAAAACTATTACTCATTGTTTTGTGGCTGTATTACACCATAAGTGTTTCACTGTTAATTTTAGACTTCAGTCTAAATTGCCTAAAATGCTCAGTTTGGCTGAAAAAGAGAGAAAGTGGTGATTATAAATACATTATCACTGCATGCCCTGGCCTGTACGACTCTCTGCTTCCAGATGGCCAATTTCTGTCTTTTCCCATATGCTGCCTGCTGTAACACTGCCCGCTGCTTGCCGCCGGGAACACGCTGTGCCATCAGACCCTTCTCCTGCAGAGGTTCTTGTGAACCTTCTGGAAATGCACACATGCACTGCACTCAGTACGCTCCCACATTATTCCTGTGATTATGTCTGCGTGACAGCAGGACTCGTCTGGTTATAGTTTACTGCACATTATGCTCTAATTTTATTTCCTGCAAATAAGAGACTAGCATGGCATAAAGATTTTATTGGCTTGAATTTATGCATTATTTATGAATGATTTCATGGCATTTTGTTAAAAGGGAGATGATCTTAAGTGTCATTACGTCACCCACACAAACTGATAAAAAGTGAAATCGTATCAAAGTTAACTATTTAAAATCAGCTGAAATTGTCATGGTATTTATTAAAAAACCCCAGTCTTTTAGGTTTCTAGCCCCGATACAACATTTCTTTTCATGTTAAGATGCAAGTGTTTTGTTCCTTTCTGGAAGGCAAGGAAAGGAGCGTTATAAAGCATTAATGCTTTTCATTTTAGATCTGCAGGTCTATTAAATCTTCTTGAAGATTTAATAAAAGCTGGGGGAAAGGGGTCTTGTGAGAAACATCCACATACAGTGGCGAGGAAAGGAAAATTGATTCCATTTCATTTCGATTAGTGAACAAGATGACCATTTTCATTGGTATAGCTATTCAAGCACTCAGAATGGTGGGAGTGTTCTAATGCATAAATTGAGAGTGCACTGAGGTTAAGGGAACATGATAAATCCAATTTATGAGATGCTGTTATGATGGTGAGCAAGTATGAGAGGCTATCATGAACATGGGCTATTTGTCAGATGTTTGCTTGCATACTTACGGTTGTGTTCAAAGGGCTATAATCCTTACACATCACACTTTTGTTATTGAACAGACTAAATTTGGCACAGTGAATGCTCCCTGCAGGAGGATTCTAGTTTTTATAAAAATTTATGAAAAAGCAAACCACATAAAGCTTCTACTCCTGTAAGTTTTACTCAAAAGTAGAAATACTTTATAGACAGTCACTGATGAACTGAACACCCTTATCAATTAGGTTTACAGACATTACAAATTCCAAATACAATAACTTCTTATTAAAACTACCCCTACTTAAGTAACAGAGTGCCTCCATTAGCCATGCAAAGTAGGCAGAACAGGCTCAGAAGTCAATGGCTGACACAATAAGCATCAAGCACACACAGCACCCTAACCATTCAGCAGTGCGCAGTTTGAAAGCATCTTCCTTTCTGGTTAGGGGACAAATATGATCTGAACTAAAGATTGCACATTCCCAAAGGAAGCGGAAAGAACAGCAGTGTGTATAGTAAGAAAAATGTCAATGATGTACTTGACAGCTGTTAGGGGAAAACTTACTGAAGAATTTCCTGGTATTTTTAATCACTGGAATTGCTGGCTATGAACCTAAATATTTCTCAGGAAGCTTTCTTTTTGGCTTGGAGAGGAAGGCATATACAAAGGGATACATACTGAGTTGTAATTAATCTGTATACAGAGGCATACATGGACGCTCTGCAAATCATACTGTTTGAGACAGTTTTCTTTTAAAAGTGTTTTTATACATTTTTGTGTTGCATATTAAAAGTGTAAAAGCTAAAACAGAATTGACTAATTCTTGCTTACTAATGCCAAACATATCTAGACATCAAATATATTCTATACAGTATCCTATAAAATGAGTTCAGTGAACTGTAGTGTAGAAATCTGCAGGAAGGCATTGTCCATCTCGGTTACAGGCACAGTCTAACATCCTTACTAAAAAATAAAAAAATAAAACTTCCGGTTTCTGAGGGATGCTGTACTGACTCCATGCCTCAGAATGGAGTTGGGAATGACCTGCTTGGAGCTAGTTACTTGTAAAAAACAGCAGAGTGAGAATGATTTGCTGATATCTGTCAATACTGAACCCTAATTGATAGCAAAGCTAAAGGCAAGAGCAGGATTTTGATCAACAGAGGAGGTTTACTCCTGACTTTAGGACAGTCAAGGAAAAGAGAAAGGAAACTCTTCTGGGAATGGGAAAATCAAATGTGAACTATATTGCAACTGACTGTGCAGGAGACATCTATATTGAATAAAATGAAGAAAACCACATTTAAGCTTTTTGCTCCCCCTGGTGAAATGTTTTGGCAAGATACTCAACAGGACCATTGCCAATCATTATATCGTGATCCACAGCTGCACACAACTTGTGTTTCTGGAAAGACCCATGGGATCTGTGGGTACGCGCTGAGGGTGCTAGCGCTGTGTTCTAAACACTGCTTCTTCGTGACACCTGCCTTCACAGCAGCCTTTCTGAAGGTAGGTGAGAATGAGGCTGCTTTCACTTTGTACCATCCCTCTCAGCACTGCATTTTCAAGGCTGTTCATTTGAAGTATGTTAAGTTTTCTGCATCAGTCGGAGGTCAAAAATGCCCTGGCAAATCCAAGAGGCCTCTCCAGTCAATCCAGCCAGCCACTTCTTGGAAAAATGAGAACTAACTGGCTATATTTTTAGGAAATACCTGGTTTTCTTTACTGCAGTTACCCACATGCAGATGTGAGGAGGACCTGATCATGGCATTTTTCCAGCCAGATAAGTATTAACTTAGGACAAAGCAACAGATCCTAGCTGACCCATGAATCTTGATTTGAGAAGAGGTCTGCTGCTATTGCCAAGTTCCCCAAAAGGAGCTGAGGAAGAAACGGACAACTCATTGCCACCTTGGCCTTGCCCTGTCAGCAAACCCCACCTGAGAAGCGCTCTCCCCTCTGTCCTGCAGTGGCCAGCACGAGAACATAGCCACTCTCAGTGGCTGAAGAGTTGGCTTTCCCTCCCTTGACATCACGTTGTGCGAAGACTGAGGTACACAGATGAAGCAGCAGCCATCCCAATCCTATACAACCCTCTCTCAGTCCTTACAGCCTCCACACAACTCTCATCCCACTTTTAAGCTCAGTCTTTTTTCCCACCAGCACCATGTGTATTACCACAGTCTGTGATGGACCCAACTGTCTCTTTCAGCACATAAGTACCACTTGCTGTTTCTTGCTACGGCAAGGGCCAACAGTCCCTTGAAGGCACAAAGGTGCGTGTGAGCTGTGAGGAAGAACAGCCATAGGAAAAGGCAAGTTTTGGAACCCAAATGAGGAAGGAGAGGGAACTGCCAACCCGTGGTGGGACTCATTCACTGTGTGTCAGCAGTCTCTTATTCAGAAGCTGCATTCTTTGAGCTGTTGAACTTGTCATCTCATGGCCCAGTTTCAACCATCAAGAAGTTATTCACATTAGTCTCCATTTTCTTCTGTTTATATTCCACCTCATGACTCCACTCCATGCCTGAACAATTCTGATCCTCTCCCTGGCCTCACACCCACACATTCCAAGTAACTGTTGACTGCTAATTTCTCAGTGACTCACTGCCTGACCAGCATATTCACTGTATGTTCAGCTATTTCATCTCTTAAGGCACCATCAACACATAAAAACATTTTATAAAACTCCAGCAGGGCTGCTTTTCAAATAGCAGGCATAACTGATACTTGTTTTGGTTTCCTCCAGAAAGATTACAGACATGCTGTGTTTACTCAACAGAAGTGTAAGGGCTGAAGGATCATATTCCTGTAGATGTCTGTCTTATGAAGGTTCACAGGCCTCTGCCTCTTCTCTGACCTCAGCACCTTCCTCATCCTCCTTGGTATTTGTCTGAGCCTTCTGCAGAAGTCTGGGCCCTGCCAAGCCAATAACCAGGGCTCCAATTGGAGCAGTGATCAAGATAGCCAAGAAGGCTACTGTCAGTACATCCATTCCATACTTTTCCAGTTGCTCATCCTGATGACTTCTCGCTGTATCCAGGGCAAGGGAACCTATTGCAGCCTGCAGGAAAGAAAACGTTGCTGAGATGGAGCAAGTAACCTTTAGCACTGAAAGAGGAAAAAAGGGACTAATCATCAGTCAAAACGTAACATAAATTTGATGGTTTTAGTGCGTTCAACCCATTCGTTTCTAGGCAGTACATAGAAAAGTAAACGTTATACTACACCGATGAGGACAATTTTCACTTGGCTATAGTTTTAATTTCCTAAGCTAATGAGTTTATCTGGATGGTTCCCTCCTGTGAAGAACATCACTTAGCTGCCATGTTATCCACATTTCTGGAGGATGCGTGATTCATGAAATGAGCCGGTATATTGTGTATTGCAGCTGCTAAAATGCCACAGTTTGACAATGCGTCCTGACAGCAGTCAGGACAACCTCTGAAAATTTAGTTCACAAATTTTGCAATAATCCTTGCCTATTCTGATTATTAACTTTTGTTTGCAAGTAATCATGCTATTGAGGTGAAGTCTAAATGACTTAACGATCACTGAAATAAAGGAGCAGGAATTTTCTAGCAATATGGCTGTCAGGCTACGCCTTACCAAAATGACCACAAACTGAAAACTCATTCCAAGCCTCTGGTGTGACTGTCCCTGCAGACACTTCATGTGTAAGAGGGAATTGCTTTTACCTTTGTTTTGAGAGTTCTCAGAATGTAAAGGCACAATACTCTGAATAACTGAGAAAGAGTTAAACTTCCTATGATATATGTACAATTTGCTGTCATTAAGAGTACAACCCAGGACGCAAGCAAAACACCTTCACATAGACGGCTCTCCATGCACTTTTCCAGCAGAGTTAGGGGACAGTTCAGAATATGAACTGTCCATATATTACACTCTGCTGTTATTGAGCCCGAACCTCTCCCCATTTACTGCTGTGCTAGTTATGAGGAGCTTTGCTAAGGACAATAGATTTAGCCTGGAATGAAAGTGATTTTGGACTGCTTACCTGGACAGTGGCTTTGGGAATCCATGCCAATGAGACAAATACTTTCTCCTTGAAATTAAACCCAGCAAAACACACCATCAGGAATGTTGCTATGATTCGCACAACTAGGGCAATGCCTAATGTAGCAACACAGAGCCCTGCAACAAAGACAAACACTTCTCAGTACTTTGTGCATAGGTGACCGGGGTGAATAAGCCTCCTAAAACTGTAGCTTTACAGTGGGGTTAGTTTGGGGGAGAGGGGAGGTTGGGTCAGCCATAGTCTACTTTGCTTTAGATTTATTTACAGAGATTCTTTGGAAGCCAGTAATGAAAGCTGGATAATTAGTGAATGATCTTACCAACAGTTTCAGGCCTAAGAGATCTAACAGATACTTCTGCTCCAATTAAACCAAAAAGAAAAGGTTGAAAGATATTCCATGCAACTGCGACAATTTTTTCTACTTCCCTCTGCAATGAAACAAAAACAATGTGTAAATTCACAAAAATATGGCCAAGTAGACACATCATTTAATTAATCAAAGGATAACTGGAAAATGCATCATAAAGATTGTCCAGAATTGCTCCTCCTTCTCTGACCTAATACTAAGAGCTTAAAAGTCAGTTGCACCCATTTCTAAGGTCAGTGTGTCTAGCTCTGCTAGTAAATAAAGGCTTGCTATCTCAAGAAAAGAAATAAAAATCACTGATGTTTGAACAGTAACAGAGCAGTTTGCAGACAAGAGGGAGAAAATAAAGCATAGTTGATTTTCAGTACTTAGGCAGACATAATTTGAACAGCATTGCCATGAAGTTTCTGAGCCTTTGAGAACTGCATGCTTAAATGTCTTCTTCCATTTGTATCTAAGCAGAGTCAGATCCTCAAAAGCTTCAGTCATGACCTAACTCTGCTTGCACTGCACTCAGTCAGAGGCCTATCTCCATGTGAGCAGGAGCAAAGTTAGACTAAGTCTGAAATCCCATACTAGTAAAAAGTGTTGACCTTTCCAGTGTGATGTACTGTATAAGGGCAAAGCCAGCTTTTCTCTTTGTTTTTGAACTTTACGCTTAACAATTTTCTTAAAACAACTGCTGCCAGGATAAACAGGAATTTTCCTCTTATGCTATGTGTACCTTTTCACATATCTAATAGCAAGTCTTTTTTAATTAAGTGGGTTCTACAATAGCAAGTGAGCCTTCAGGCTGCAGTGTGTGAAAAGTATAAGTGCAGTGCGCTGTCACTTAATAATCAGTCCAGGGCTTAGACATGTCCTGTCCTCAGTGTTCTCTCTGGGACAACTCTTGGAATGAAATGGTAGATGACTTCTGTAACCTTGGAGAGAACGAGATGGAAATATACAGACTTCTAAAAATATTTCTTACTGGTCTCATTTCTCCTTGTTATCTCACCCTTCTCTTTTTTGGAAAAAAAATAAATAAAATAATCCTCTTTACAGATGTTAGCATTATTTCAGTCCATTTACTGTATACAGTATGCAGTCATCTCTGACTGTATCTGATAAAAAAAGAGCTAAGGCATTTGAAAACAACACTGTTAAGGCCAAGAAGCATCATTCACTGATCAAAAAGAATTTAAACTAAGCATTTCTACTCCTTTAACGTCCTTCCTTCTGAAATGGTTTAAAAGCTTTTCAACAGAGAGCTTTATCAGTTGTAATGTCCTTAAGTAGATAAGTCCCAAGAGAAGTTTTCCTTCTTTTAGGATCGGACAACAATGTAATACGTTAAATAGAAACCATGGCTTCTTTTTCATTGTTTTAACAAATCTTCAGATCTTACTGAAGTCAGGGTCTAGATGGGGATAATAATATGGACTCTGCTATATCTGATCCCTCTTCCTTTCTCTTCTTTCCCCCTTCTCCTACTGCATGTCGCAAGGCTACAGCTGTGGAGAGAAAGATGCCCTCAAAATATTAAGTGCAGAAGGTATCAAACACATGAGGCAGTGAGACATTCCGAGGTACAGAAATGCAGCAGGGCAGCAACAGTAAGAGGAAGCAGGCTTAGTAGCTAAGAGAAAGTGACTAAAAATCAGTCTTTTGTACGGTTTTTCTATGGTCTTATATCACCATGTATTGTGGGCACCCTGCTCTCTAATTTTTCCAGAATACACTGACTGGGATTTGGGAAAGATGAGAGGATGGTTAATTACTGTTTTCCATTTCATCCCCCCCAAAGCCACAGGGAACAAAACCTCAGGGTATTCAGCCCATGTGCACAACTGTATTTTGGACGCCTATTTGTATATCTTACCATGAAGTGACTGTGTAAGGTTACAGACAGTCACAGAGCTGGCACATAGAGCTTTCGATTCCTAGTCAAGTGCCTTGATAACTAGATCTCTTTTACATGGCTTAAGATGTCTAAGAAAAGCTTGTGAGCATTTCTCTGTCAGTATGTTAGGCTCTGTATTGCTATATATTCACATACATGGGAACTTTCTGTCATGCTAAATGTTAAAGTCGTCCAAAATAAACATGACTTTTTTTTTTTTTTCAATCCATACACACCCTAAAGCTTCATAAATGCACCATTACCACTCCTAACATAAATTCAAACTCCTGTCAGACTGTACATTCAGAGCAGTTTTGGTGTGGTATGCTTCTTTATGTAAACATTCACCTTTTCGTCAGACCATCCCACACCTGCAACAAAAGCTAAGACTAATGTGCAGAGCCCTCCTGATCCAGGGAAGCCGAAGTAGATGCTGCCAAAAACAGCAAACATGGACAGCCCAAGTACAAAATATGATCTCTTCCATGCCAGAGATGCCTGCAGCGAAGGAGAAAGACAAACCAAAAACTAAATTTATTTTAGAAATGGAGGAAAAAGGTTGCTTCTGTTAATTTTGAAAATAACAGTTTGAAAATAACAATTGCCATTAACCATTGTGAAAGAATCAAAGCTTTCAAGTGAGACTTGAACTACTCATTTGAGTTTGAGGGGTTTTTTGGACATTAATTCCTAAAAAAAATTAATTTTGGAAATTTAATATTTTCTTTCCTCTGCCCATCCAAAATCTTATTGCCAATAGGCTTTTTGTATCACAAGGAACATGATGGTCTATTCTAAAAGTCCTGCTTCAACTCTTTGGTAACAGGATTTTCTACCTGTGCAGTCAAGTACCAGAACAGTTAATCCAAGGAGAGGTGAAATCCTTGCCACTAGATATTTTTAAGGACAAGTCAAACAAATGTTTGCCAGGGACAGTCTAGTTTTATCTGATCCAGTCTCACAGCAGACAGTTACATCTCTGCCATTGCTCCCCATTTCTATTTTTCTGTTTAGCTCCTGTATCACATTTCTTATGTTACTTAAGAAGAAAATTTGGTCCCACTGAGGGCAATACATGCTTTGCAAATTGACTTCAGTAGTCCAGAACACATCTACTTTCTTCCACAATTTTCTGTTCACTTAATTGCCTCTTGATAGTAAATTAATCTACCACTTTATGTAAGAATTTGTATTGAAAGTAGCACATTCTATTTAGCACTAATGATATGCCCAGTCATGTAAAGCCTACAATCTGTCCACTTGTTTTTAATCTTAGGCCTACTGGAAACATCTTATAGAAGTAAATGTGTCGCACATCAATCTAATTGATGATTATTTTACTGTCTGAAATGGGTATCAGACCCCTTCTCCTTTACGCGTGGACACTTCCACCACCTTCAATGAGAGCAGGATGGTGAGCTGGGTTCCAAACTCTGCATCAGGAAGGACTGTGAGATCATACGTTGTTATCGTTGCAGAAAACAAGTAATCACCTATGAAACACATCTTCACTTGATAGGCTTTGCAACCTGGAAGCTGTTAGCTCTGTACACAGCTTACCCCAAAAACAGCTTCACGTGAAGCTTGGAAATACAACTTAACATCATCCCTTAGCAAAGAATCTCTGTTTTATAAAAAGTTTTACTGGGTTTTTACCTGATCGTGGCTTGGGAAATATCGAACAAACATTCCCAGAATCCCCCCAGCTGCTATGCCAACAGCAACCTCCAGCACTCCACGGAGCACATTGTACAGAGTAGAACCTATTTGGCAAAAGAGAAATGGGTTCAGTATGCCATACACAGACCCTTCACACACAAACCTCACTGTACACCTATGAAGGTGATTCCAGGACAGCGTCTGCTTTAAATTATTTGGGGGCAAAGGGGTTCAGAAGGGAACCCATGGGCCTGAAAGAACTGGATAGCGCAACTTCCTTTCTCTGAAAGCTCATGCCAAGAAAGTGTGCCAGAGAAGCCTGAGAAAGAGCCACTGTGAGAACACAGGCAACCCCAGGGAAATTTGAAAGCACTTTATGTTGGGCATGCAGGGCCCAGACTTGGCAGCTAAGCAAGCAGACAGGGAAAAAATGTTCACTGAAAGTTTTTGTGATCCACAACTCAGAGCAGACAATGTTACACCAAGACTTGATCATGGGTAATTTACCTCTCAATATTCAAGTCCACACGTGAACTTTATAAGGAGATGTCGTTAAGTTACAAACCAGTCAGTCATAACAGAGCACACATTCTTCAAAATATCACTGTTCGTTCTGGATTTCACCACATACAGATTAACCAGCATACCAGAAGAGAAAGCCATCCCAAGGCAAGTGTTGAAGCCTGTGATAGCCAGAATGTCGTCAATGCTGCCAGCTGCCATTAGCAAAGTTGGGACACCTTTCTCCACCCCATATCCTCCAGCTTGTAAAATCAGCATTGAGGGAACCACCACAGCAGGGGAGACTGCACCTAGAACAAAACTGAAAACACATAGGTTCAGCTTCTCACAAAAAGATAGCACTGAACTACAGAACTTTGAAACGTTCTGACTCCAATTCTTTTAAAGTGTAAACAAACAGACCTTTACATAAGCTATTTTCCTTACCTTTCCCTGCTAATTACAAGCAGGGATATTACTATGCAGATTTGCAGCCATGTCTTGCTTCCTGCCCAACTCAATAGTATTAAAAAGTAAAGGGGTCCACAGACTGAGTCTACACTGCAGGCCAGTTATGTTCCCTGATATATGACTTGTATTGTCCCATTTACAAACCCGGTCTAGGCAGGCTTATGACTCAATAGCCCAGTACCTTCTCATAAAAATCAGTGTGTGGCAGAGAAGTTCATCTATCTTGCTCCACTATATGGGTCTGGACCAAGTCCACCGGTTTGGATAGAACTAGATGGAAAAGGTTTCTTCTTCAAGGATATTACTCCAGAACATAACATGCCATATCCTTATCCTTGACTTGTGACAGGAAGTCTATCCTACCTGCATCTCTCCATGAGGTAATTCTGAATTCCAGCACGAAGATTCCCCAAATTGTGGTATCATTTTCTGTCCCTAAAAGCCCCCTGTGTTGTGTTTAAAGACTCAGGGATCGCACCACCCTTCTTCAAGTGCTCAGATCACAAACCCAGAAGAGTAATGATGCAAGTACTCCTCCACAGCCTGAAAATGTGACCTTTAAATTACCCACAGACCAGACATGAATGGTAAGTAAACAACCACAGGGGCTAAGCACAGCTTCCTAACTGGCATTAAACTGAGGTCTCTGCTTGGCGCAGAGAACTAACTGCTCTTGGATCATTTAACTGTAGCATGAAAACAGGCACCTTTGTCATACAGGAGCAAAGACAGTATGTTACCCTAATATAAATCCCCATTGCCAGGGCAAGTGCATGAGTAAGTAGGCAAGAACCGCAGCCGTGCATGTTTCTGAGATGCACGGTCCGAAAGAAAGCCGCAAACAGACTGCTTTGAGCTTCTTAAGAGCCTGCAATATACAAACACATTCAGACATTAGTATCAGTACCCTTGGCTTTATAGAGAGAAAATACATTTACAATCTGATAGGGTTTATTAAAAGAATCCCCTCTGAGCTGCAGTACAGGACAGCTTTACGTGGTCTAAGCCAGAGATAGGCTCAAGCACAACTGGATTTGGATATAAAATTCCAAGCGTGGCAGTGAAACCCACTGAATCTAGATTCAACAACGTTCCTGCGTGTCACAGGAAGTAGCAGCAAAAAATTCCATTTGGCTTCTTGTGCAAAGCAAACCAAATGTGAGAGGCTGGACTAGCTAGGATCCATTTGAAAAGTGCACCATCAACACAGCTGACTTACCCAGGTCATTTGCTCGATCCACAAATAATTTCCTATAATCCCACAAGTTGCACGAGCACTCCCAAAAAAATATCCAAAAATCCATGAACAAATAAGGAAAAGTTGTAAAACTACATAAACTTGGCACAGGGAGCCAAGCATCTCTTTCAGCTGTCTGTCACTTGATATCCAGAGCAAATTAAGTTCCATTTCCCCCAGCAACTTCTATTCAAAAATTTCACTCAAACAGAGTATTTATTTGTAACAGCTGCCTTTAATAGTCACAAACATGACTCTGCTAGGACAGGTCCCTAATTTTGACATGGGGGGAGGGGGGGAAATAAAAAAAATAATCAATGACTTGCACTTTTTACCAGCGCAGTTTATCCCAGCATAATTAGGGTTGAGAATCACCAAAGCAACTGACATCTTTGTCTTCACAGCTTCAATGACATGAGGACCAATTGTAACTGCATCAAAGCATTGCTACATAGAGTCCAAATGACAAATTCGATTGCCGCATGGGAGAAAAATGAGTCAAATGTGAAGTTCCTTTGGCAAAAACAGTTGTCGTGGAATAGAAAGAAAAGCACTCTCACAGAACTGGGCATCCAAGCCGTTTGTAACAACACGTAGTCCATGTTCATACAAGCTTCAATGTCTTGGAAAAAAGGATGATAGTAATCTAAGAAACCAGGCATTTTTCAAGAATGACAGAACCCTATTTTCATAAATATCTGAAGCGTTGGCAACTCCCTAATTTTCATCTTGGTTAAGAAGAATCAGTTTAGTTGTTTTGAACTAGCTATACTTGAACTAAGTTTTACATAAACTTTAAGCAGTACCTTAAACTTAAATAGATAGGGGCCAACATGGTACAGCTTTAGTTCAACCAGCTGATTTTGATCAAGTCGCACCTTGCCTTCATTAATTTATGGAACATCACATTTCATAGCGTGCACAGGAAGACTATTTTTTTGTTCACAGGAAAGTTATGTGAAGCATTGCTTCTGTAGTGCAGCAGGACTCATCTTTGCAATTAATATATTTGCATTAAAATGGCAACAATTAAAAAAAAGAAAAAAGTAAAGAAGAGACACACAAGTTTGGATTTTTTGGTTGGTTGTGGTTTTTTGATTGGTGTCACACAAGCAACATTCTCTTTCAAGGACTGGGGATGCCCTCCATTACTTGTTTTAGTTTGTCAGTGTAAATAGACAGAGAGTTTGTCAGGGAGTGTAAACTCTTCCTGACAGACCATAATGGAGCACATGTCCTCAAGATGTTCTGCTCACAAAATTCAGGATATTTCTTTAAGACAAAGGGGAAAATAGTTCATAACATCAGTTTTCTTCAGGTATTTTCTGGATTGCTTGCCTACTCTACAAATCCAACTGTCAATATTAACATATGACTATACAACAGAAACTATGCTTTCTGTAATGCTCTAATTTGCAGATTCTCTAAGACTGAACAGTTAAATATTTTTAACAGAACCAATTATTCATTGCTTTTGTAGACCATTGTATAGTTTGCCTCACACAAATGGTTGGTGCCATACCTTTGGATCCAGGCCGAGTCCTGCTCGGGTCAAGATAATTGAAAGAGCAATATTCCTCAGTGCTGCAGACCAGCGTAGGTTTATCTGGACGATGTCACTAATGAATGGGGTATTTCGGATTAGAAAACCAGCAAGTAGCATCCCTTAAATGAAAGCAAATAAGCTCTTGTCAAATTATTTGCTTTTATTGCACTAAAAGCTTGCATAGAATTCTTAAAATAGACACCATTCTATGTATTTATGAGAGACAAAGAAACAATTCATGTTCTGAATTATTAGCCATGTTTTAATGATGGGGACTGAGGCATGGAAAGACAGAGACATGTTTAAAGCAATGAAAGTGACCTAAGAACACACCAGGTTACCAATGAATAAATCTGCAGGATGCTGACACGTAGTTTTAGTGCGAGTCAACAGAATTCAGCTTTGTTCACCAGGTGCAGGTCATACTTGCCTCTGTATCCTTAAAGATATTTTGCTCATTAGCTTGTATCAACATGAAAAGAGGAAGATTGTCTAATATTGCATGTTTATCTCAGAAGTTGGAAATTGTTAAAAATCCTCTTAGGTGTAAGAAATGCAGATATCACAGGAATCATAATGCTGAGTTCATTGGGAAATATCTAAAACAGCTAATCATGGACTTAAACATTTTAAAATACTCTGGCAATATGACTCTTCTCCAAAGAGGGGAAAAAAAGGGGGGGGAAATCAGGAACTTGCTCTTATCCTCTATTTGAGCTACTTGCACGATTGAACCTTGTGCAAAGATTAGCAAAATTGTCTAATCAGAGACTTCCTGCAAAGCTATTGGAACTGTAGTTCTGAAAGGATATAGAAAAGTACTGGAAAGGGTGACTTTAAATACAGATCTGCAGAGATTCATTGTAGGTCGTGATACTCAAAGATGTATTTTTGTGGCATAATTTTGTATTAGCCATATTAAGAAATAGGAAAACAAAAGAGATAAAAAGAAAGCAAAGACTGTGCTTAGATTGGTCCCAGCTTGGTGTGAGCCTTGGCTGTGGACTTGATGTGTCCTGGGACATGCTAAACTTTTGGTCATTGTTCTTCCCACCACCTCCCGGAAAAAAACAGTGATATAATTCATCTGTGGTACCTCATGACAATTATATCAGGGTAGTGTAATGATCACATGCTCTTTGCAATGTTTGCTTCAGGTTCTAGTCATTAGAGCTACCCTGATCTAGAAATCTGCTTAAAGCAAAAAAGAAAAAAAATCACCTCAAAGGATACCTCCACTGTTCTGCTCCATGTTGCCTGCTGCAGAAACCTCTCTACAATGTATATCTAAAATATACTATATGACTGTTTCCATAGCAATTTCTCTCCTTTTTTCCTCAGACAGAGACTCACTCTAAGGTCCATAAGTGCTCAGCCAGCCACATTACACTCAACTACACCTAGCACAAGTGATTAAAGGCACGTAAGAGTGCAAGATTTCTATTTTTAGTGTAAAAAAGAATATTCAAAGACATTATCTATCTCTTCTTCTGACTCAGATTTCTCCAGTTTTCCTCAAAGGCTGGGAATCTGAACAATGAACTCTGTCCTAAGCACCTCAAGACATGTGCTGTCATGTTTAAGTTTCTGTTGTTCAGTATTACCTCTCTGACAAACAGTTTCATGCTCAATTCATAACTTTTAGATACAGATGTAACTTAAAAATAAAAAGGCAGAATCCAAACGGTCAGAAACTGGTTTTTTTTAATGGAGTGCGTTTATTCAGAAAGGGCAGACTCCCTGTGTGTTACATTCTCTGTTCCTATTATTGTAGGCATGCATGCTATATGCAAAACACCCCTCCCTCTCATTTGAATTTTTTTTCGCTCGTGAAGCTAAGCGGTGCAAGAACACGCATACTGTACGTGAAACTATCTAGCCCTTCTGTAAGCAGTGCTACTGCGTGATGCACACCACCAGCTGTGCAGGTTACAAAATCACATCTGTGCACTACAGGCAGGTATTTGAGCCCACTCTGCCACAAAGTCTTACTGTCTGTCAAGGGCTTTACTCATTTATGCACTAAGCATAGTAAGGGGGCAGTATACAGCTGCTGAGAAGAACCATGAGCTTCATTTTTAAGCTTCATCGACATCACAATGTTGTACTGATCTAACCAAAACCCCCTCTAGGAAAGAAGTCTAAAAAGGTTCTGATGATGTAAAAATTAATGGCATTTTCATCTCCCATTTTATTTTACATTAAAATGCAAAATAGAAACAAGATGTTGATATGAAAAACAATGTTGTGATTGATTCAAAATAACTCTCTTCAGAAGAATTATTCCTTGTGGTGAATTTATTTTCTCACATTTCAGGTATCTTGAGATAAAGGAAGGAGAAGAAAAAAATTTGGATTACCAGTAGTAGGGAATTTCTGTAGCGTTCTCTTTGGAAAACATTTTCATTGTGTGAGATGTACGCAGAACAGCTCAGCAATAATTTCCTTATGAGTTAGTTATTCTACAGTAACAGGAAGTCTGGGTTAAGACTCCTGTTTAGTGATATTAAACCCAAATTTTAAGTAACTGTGACAGGGGAGACTGAAGGACAATAACCTTTGAATCTGTAGATACACAGTTCTCTGGTCCCCAAAGAATTAAGAGCCTCAGTAGCATACAGGCTATTTCACTTGAGCCAGTTTGAGGAATTTTGTACCTTCTTGGAAAGGACCAGGTAAAAGTCACTTGGGAAAGCTACAGATTTTGAATGTGATGCAGTTTGTTCCCAGTCCAAACATATCTAGCATGCAGAGATTACTTGATAGTGTAAACATCACAGCTATGCAAGAAAAAAAGGAAGGAAGGATATCTTACCCAGAAGAGCAGGGAGAGGGGGTAGCGTTCGTATTTTAATGAATCCAAAAATTTTACCTCCAATGACAGCAAAAAAATAAAGAAACAGAATTCCAAACAGGTTTCCACCTGGGAGACACTCAGTCCCAGTGATGGACCAAACCACAGCCCAAACCAGGGCCATGATTGCAACTGGAACAAAACAAGAAATATTCATATTTAATCATCTCTCAGGGACAACTTTGTTTACTATTAAATGGCATTTGGTTTTCTACTAAGAAAAAAAATACCACAACTTTCAAGAATAAAATCAATTACCTTAGAAATTAGTTTAATCATAACAATGTGTTTATGTAATGGTTTAACCCATTCGGCAGTGAAAACAATGACACAGCCGTTTGCTCACTCTGCCCCCCCGCAATGGGATAGGGAAGAGAATCCCAAAGAAAAAAAAAAGGTAGAACAAGTATCTCAACTTGTGGGTTGAGATAAAGACAGTTTAATAGGACAGAAAATGAAGATGATGATAATAATAATTATGATGATAAAGGAATATACAAAACAAGTGATGCACAGCACAATTGCTCACCACCTGAAGCCAATGCTTAGCTAGTTCCTGAGCCACATCGCCTCCCAGCCAACCCCCCAGTTATATGTTGAGCATGATGTCATATGGTATGGAACATCCCTTTGGCCAGTTTGGGTCAGCTGTCCTGGCTGAGTTCTCTCCCAGCTTCTCGTTGGCAGGCCAGTATGAGAAGCTGAAAAGCCCTTGACTGCTTGGCAACAACTAAAATATTAGTGTTATTAACATACTCTCATCCTGAATCTGAAACACAGCATTACACCAGCTGCTAGGAAGAAAATTAACTCTTATCTCACCTGAAATCAGGACAGTTTAATATTTGATGCTCCCTAATAAGATGTTCTGATATTATAGATGCTAAGATACTTTAAAAAATGGTAACAGGAACATCATTAGGGACCAAAAGGTACTGAGTGAGCCTTGGGCCACTGTGGAAAGCACTTAACAGGCCCCAAACTTAAAGCAAAGACTTTCACTGCCTTATCTTGCATTTGCTTATCTTCCTTCAGCTACTTCAGAACTGCAGTAAGAAGCTGCTGCTGTACAGCCTAGTATATGTTTGAGCTAATGACTGCAGCTCCAGTCTAATTCTTAAAAGAATTTCAGTATAATTTTTTGGCTGGATGTGCTTGTGCAATTCTTTGCTATCCCTGGGGGGAAGAGGGGAAAAAAAAAAATAAAATCAAAGAAGGTCATGTCTCTGGACAGCCTGAAGTAATACAGATACTTCCCTTGATACAACAAAGAGGGATAATACATAGGAAAAAAAAGTCCTGAAAAATATTATGAGAACATGAAGGGAAAATATTGTAAAATATGTGAAAATACTGCAAAATATGTGAAAATACTGTACTCTTTCCAGGTTCCCAAATCTGTCCCTACAGTTATCCAACAAGAACAGACATGCACAGATATAAAAGCAGAAGGCTGAAGGAGAGGAAAAAATGTGTTGAATAAATCCCGTTCTCATCATCATAAGAAAATGTATTGCATTTTCAGACCGGATTTTTGTTAGTCTTATTTAAGGGTGATGGGTGGCAAAGGGAAGACCAGTAGATTTCCAAACATAAAAGCCTAAGAATCCCAAGTGAGAGAGAATGGGGGCTGTGGAAGCATCTTTTGTTCAGAAAAGACTGAAATAACTGGTTAGCCAGGCATTCTCTTCTGTGAGCCTTCAGTGCAGGGCAAATCTTAAACAGAACAGGTGGTTTGCCTTATAGTGAGGATTCTCAGCTTTTGTTAAAAAACAAAAAAAGGATCACTGCAAAGTCTCACTATTTGTTGCCTTAATTCAACGAAAAGCCATCCAGCATGCCAAAAATGCCAATCTCTCACACAAAAATGAGCTATCAAGACAAGAATCAGGAGGTCTTTCTTTTGATGAAAACAATTCGCAATGCAAAAACATACCTGCCATGTTAAACACAGAAGACAGGATGCAGGAACAAAAACTATACATTGAAATCTGTGTTTCACCTAATTATTTTTTTCTGCGAAAACATTGAAACAAAAGTGTGATGTGTCCAACGTAGCTATTTCCCTTCATTATTTTCAAGGACAATGGATAGATATCACCACACCCACAGAAACAAGTTACTTCATTTACCATTTCTCAGTTTAATTAAATTCTATCTTTCTTACATACCATTTGTCACTGTTCGGGCCAGTAAACCCTGAGGAGGACAAGTAAATGTTTGCCTCCATGTTCTTGCAGGTATTGAAGACCCTGCTGTTGGTTCCGGAGGTTGCTGAGCACAATGATTCAAGAGAGCAGTTTCTTCTGTTTGTATATTCCCATCAGTACCTTTGGCATCTACTGGTGGTCCCTCCTGAATGAAGACAGTAAGACTCTCTCAGAAGCGGCAGTAGATACATTCGAAGTAGCATACGAGACCTGAAATTAGCTGTGATGCACTAGATCCACCCTGTCTACAACTACATTAACTACACAATCGCCATAGGAATGGTCCAACTTTGTACTACGTTTGGGATTTTTAGTTATGCATTTGTTTTTGCATGGCACAGAGAACTGCATACTGGAAAATGCAGGACACTTGCCTTTTTATCTGCAACTGACAGGACTCCTGTCCCAATATAAATAGCACCTGTTCAGCAACAATATCAGCATATTTGATGAAGAACCAACATTAACAGGCCAGGTTCAGCTTATCTTGTATATGAGCTAAATACTTATCGATATTTTCTACAGTTTGCTAGGGTTCTGCTTCCAGATTGGATTCCACAATACAGGTAATGATTAGCATCATTCCAGTGAGACAGTGTCTTTAACACCTAAAAAACTTCTGTTGCAAAACCGAAACAACAAAACCCACTTGTGATTATACAAAGATGAAAGAAACAGATCAGCTGGCCAGTGCAAGCATTACTCACGTGATCCATTGCTGGAAGGCTCAAGCTGGTAAGTCAAGACAAAGATGGAGAAATACTACTCTGGGAGTTATTTCCTTGAAGAATGGTTCCTTGAAGCTGTTCTCTTATACTGATTCATCTACTTATCCATATTCATAGCCAAAGCAATTTTTGACCATTTTTGGCTATGTGTCTCACTTCATTTTAGGGTCCTTATTTTTGAGAAGTTAATCATCTACCTCCCCTTATGATTATTCACCTTCATGTCAGCTCATTGTCACAGCATGGACATGGAATTCTTGCCTATACTGTGGTTTGGCTGTCCTCCAGTAATAGCTTCACATTTCCCATTATTTTTCTGTCTCATATCTCTCTCTCTATATATATATAGATAGATATAAATATATATATCTCTCTTTTACTCAGAGTCACAGTTGGAACACAAATCTCGTGAGCTTTCAGCATGGAGTTGCTTGGTTATCTACCCTGTGATTCTGCGATCACCAGCTGCCCGTGTATATAAAGATATGCCATACGGTACTTACCTTTACAGTCAATATTATATGTTTACTCTAAAGTGCATTTTATATTAAAAATTTTATTCTTACTTCCATTTACTGCAAGTCTTTTTTAAGGCCATGGAAGTCAACATTAGAAATACGCACTGGGAAGTTTAAAGTTGTGGGGTTAATTATTTTTGTCAAATATAAAAGGGAAGAGATGCATGAATAACTTTCAGCAAGTGGACAGATAGGCACAATTTGAAAGCAAAGAAGCAATCTTAAGTCCATTTGATTCTCTTCCATAGCTAATCATTATGCTGATACATTTTCCACTTCAAGCTGAAATTGCAACCACTGATTTCCAGCAACCGAACATACCACAGACTTTTAAAAACTGAACACTTTTTAATTGTAAGAAGTTCCCACTAAGGAGATTTCTCTTTGTATTCCCTTCAGATGTAGGGATTTTAATGGATGTAGGAAGAAAAAGGAAAGTAAAAGGAGGGTTCCCCTCACTAAAACTACATTGAGATCCTAATTTATTACCTCACTTTTCTCATACATGGGAATCATGCCATTTCTCTCACAAATTGATGGCTCAGAATCTTCATTGTCATTTACAATATCCTCCTTTACCATTGTTGCAAACCTAAAGAAAGTAATAAAGGTAGAAAAGTTAGAGAGAAGCAAATAATGTTACTTTCCTGATGCAAGAGTTCTCAGTGATGTTGTTTCCTCCCCCACAGATCAGATGAAAAACTCTCCCAGTTTGGAAGTAAATGGTTTTGCATGCCCATGTATGCTGTACAAAAGACACAGTCTAACAGAAGAACAGTATTAAGCTTACAAAGTCAAGCACTAAAAGTACAAAACTAAAAAAAAAAAAAAGTTTTAGAAACATGGTGATCTCTGCTAGTCTGTTATTTCCTCCTTAAAAATACTGTTGTAATATATACATATGTATTTGTTCCTCCTATTGGCACAAGATAAAGGTTTTTTGCTGTCAACACCACTTACCAGGACCATTAGTTCTGAAAGTGTCACAGGGCCTGTGTGCATGGCAGTGCAAGTGACCATTTCATAAAGCTAAGAACAACACCCATAGTTTCTAAAGCACGCACACGAGGGGATGCTTTTTCCCTAACTTAAACCTGACTGGATCCAGCTTGATTTTCAGAGGAGTTTTCCAGAACACGGTTCTGTTAGACATCCTTATTCACATGTTGACTGAATATCTAAGAAACAGAAGATGCCTGTTTGAATAAAGATCAGGACTATGCGCAACTTGTGCTCTATATTCAGGTGAGCCTGATAAAACACGGCTCTTCTTTACTACTTACAGCCCACAGAGATAATTCTCAGAGTGGGAAATAAGGTCCAAGTTGCTTGTGGGTAATTGTCACTGTATTTACTCCATGTAACTGGTCCGCTTGTTCCATAGATGCTAAGGCTTACCAGTGTTGTTCTCTGTTACAGCAAAAGCGTGCATATATTCTCCACCAACTATATTTTAGTGCTAACAGCATTTTCTTGAAGCCTTTTACATTGCTCTGGCCATATAAAACATCACTCAAGCTGAGCCAAAACTTCTGAGCCAAGGAATTCCTTCCTTGCTAGATTGCTGGAAGCAAGTCAGAGAGCTGATTCTCACAATTATCAAGCCTTCAGTTTATAAAGATACGTTTGATATTTGGGAATGATTGATGCCATGAACAAAGACAGGGGCTATTGTAACACCTGGGTGGTTTTGTTTGATCTGTTCTGATATGAAACTGGCTTAAGACATGGCCAAGGCATAGAGAAAAAATACAGAGCCATAGGCAAACATTTTAATGCGTTCTAAAGTAATAGTTTTGCTTTCTTTTTAAATGTAAAATGTTGATTTACTCAAATTCCAGTACTTTTCTATATCTTTAATTACTACTCATGGAACCAAATAGTTGTGGTCTCAAAGTTGTTCGGTTTTTTTTTTTTAATGAAATAAATGATTGGATGTTCTGCTTAGCAGG